TGCTAACAAACCCAGTGGTAGCATGAGCGAGAGCTTACGCTATTACAGTGGCAAACACCACTTGTATGGCTACAAAGTGGAGGTGTCGGTGCTGCCGAACGGTGTCGCGATTAATTGCACGGAGCACACCGGTGGGAGCACGCATGACGCTGAGATTTTTCGCAGGAACGCAGCATTTCATTCGCGAGCTCTTCACAAACACTCTAGTGATGCCAATGTGCGAGACGAAGGGAGAATACAAGACAAGCATCCGAAAGAATGGGCGGTGTTAGTCGATAAGGGCTACCAGGGTATGGCGCGTGAGTACCGAGCAATTCACCCCATTAAAAGCGGGCGTCTGCAGCCGCTCTCGCTCGAGGACGCCAGCTTTAACGACGAGCTCGCGCATGACCGTGTCATTGTTGAGAATTTCTTCGGTAGATTGAAGTCTCTGTGGGGAATTTGTTCCGACAAGTGGAAGATTGACGAGACCTCTTACGACCTATACTTTCGGGCTTGTGTCGCTCTTACAAATGTCAATATTCGATTGAGGCCTCTTCGGAACGATGACGGAGATGACAACACCAAGTACGACACTCGTTTGCGCGAAATTGGAGCAAGTACACTCGAGAAGCAAACAAGAAAGCGGAAGCGCTATCAAGCCAATCGACAGGCAAGGCTTCGTACGGCATACCGTCGGCGGACTAGTCTCTCATGCTCCATTTTTATGGGAGTTGAAGAAGACTGTAGCGACGATGATACACAGTTGTGATATTGTCACCTATAAAAGCAAGATACGGAGTTGTATTTGTGAAGTTAGTACGAGTCAGCGTAATTATTGGAGCATTCGTTCCGATAGACTACCATATTCGCTAAGTGCAGATCAAAGCCAAAAACTACCTTGAATCTAACGATATACCAATCTAAGATACGAATTTGCTACGAATTTGAGAAATTGAACAATATTCTGTCATATTCCCACGTAAGTAATTCTGAGCCATAGTGAAGAGCATTTGTGCGCGGTAAAGATGTGGCAGTGTTCCGCTGGACGACACCCGTCGCGATCACCTCAAGAACTTTATGCGGTAATATAGACTCAGTCATCATTGCGACCATGGGGAAATCGTATCTGTAGACATCCCTCAAAACCTGGCAAATGGTGGATGCGGTACACGTCTTTTAGGACTGGCTAAAGGACTTGGAAGGAGAGATAAAACGCGTGGGACGAAGAATGATCCTTCTACTTGACAATGCACCCGTTCATATTGCCCCTGAGATCACACTGGAGCACGTTGAGCTTTTATTTCTACCCACGAATACGCCAGCTACAATTCAACGAATGGATCAGGGTGTAATTGCATGTTTGAGGAGGCGCGTTCTCCAAGAGTGTGGGGAGGAGGCGGTAGCTGCGAAGAAGATCCTTTTTTGATCGAAACATCGGACGCTGTCAGGCGGTGTGACGATGCGTGGAGCGACTTGGGGGCCGACACCATTACAGTAAGTATAGGTCTCAGATTAGTAACATCATCAACTTAACTAAGTAGATACCCGAATCTATGATAGTTAATGTCCTCTTTCCCGAAAATACCGCCAATATTCAGTATATACCAGGCGTTCCTTATTCACGCCCTATAATGTACTTCCAATCCGCTCTCGCCACTAATTTATTGTAGTTAATACAGGCTGCTACCGACAGCGAATACAACAAAGATTGTCTTGCTACTGGACAACCAGTGCTCTGTTTACCTTTTGAGCGTCCAATTGTGGTGTTCGCCGGGCACTCGTGGTCAGTATGCATGTATATGTACACTTGATTCACTCGGATCAGCTCGAAACTTCCTCGGTCGCAAGAAGGACCCAAGGGCATTCGTGGTCGTGCTAGACTCCTCTATCGAGATGGTGCTGTATGCTGAAGATCGCCACTTCAAGCCGCTTACTCATGAATGTAGGAAGGCTTTACGCCGACGCTCTTCAAACGGAACGTCCAATGTTTAATCGCGACGGGTGGCCGGAGAAGGCTCCAGCAAAGTCGATGCCGTTCTCGCCGTATCTTTTTAAAGAGCGCAGATTCAAATTTCCCGCCCACCTCGTAGGATACACGCCGTGCACCGCCTTAAATCATCCAAAGACAATACCTCATTGACAGAGCTTTATAATTAAATAATATTAGCTATCAGATGCCACCCGTTCCTTAATCACCAGGCCTCTTAAAACTAGGCTTTGTGTTGCGAGAAAATACTGACTACCTAAACGAAGTTTTGACAGCCGCCTAGTTGAAACCGGAAAGTTCCATACAAACCACAAGTGTAAAAGCTAACCACCGCCTGCGTGAAGCCCCAAAGCTCTTTAAACAGCTCTGGGTGTTGTCATTGTTCTATAATTCTCTCATTTAAGTGGTTTCACAACCGCCCAGCGCCTGTTCATTGTTCCCTTCTTCTCTCATTTCACGATTTCCGCTATGGCTCCACAGAAGAAGAAAGGGAAAGCTCGTACTCCACTACTCAAGCCTCGTCCGCTGAAGCTTAAACAAGCCAAATTACCGCAGTCAGAGCCACGTCAGCGATATCTACGAGGAAATCATGCAGTTACACGATATTAAAGATGTAAAAGCACCAACTTTCTCGTGGTGGCTGATTCTTTTCGCAATTGAGGAGCTGGTGGACAAAGTCAAGCAATGCTTTAGATCAATGCAGTACAGGACCGTCACGATGAAGGACCAGTACGAAGCGTTGGAGAATCTTGTAAGGTACTTTCAAATGAAGTTCGAGGAGCAACTAGAAGGCGATGAGCCTTCGCTCTGTTTTGAGAAGATTTCCGCTCACATCCGAACCGCCTCATTTTTCTCACTTCCATTGTATGACGAGAAGATTGACGATATCGAGCGACGACGGCTAGTAAATGGACTTTCAAGTGCGATTGGCGGGTTTATTACTGGTGTTAATCAGATCAGGATTGAGGTGAAAGGGGCTGTGTCAGCTACTCTTTTGACGCTTCCTAAGGACCTTGTTGCAATGAAAGATGTGACCAAGTTTGGTCAGCTGATTTTGCCTTACAAGAAAAGACTGAGAGTCCAATACGAAAGTGGGGTGATCAGCTGCATTTGGAAGCAGGTCCGTAAGTTGCGTGAAACGTACGAGCTCAACCCGGACTTCAAGGCTTATGTCGACAGGTCTTACACCAAAGGTGTAGTCGAAGCATGGCGTATTGTGAACGGTTCTGGTGAGTATTCACGTTTAGTTTCGTTTGCGCTGGGGCTGGCTTCGATTCCACCCGGTACCCATACCGTGGAAGGTGATTTCAGCTCACTTAAAGGTGTCAAAACTGCCCACCGAGGATCGCTGACCAACTATGCACTTGAAGGTCAGTTGCAGGCAAAGCAATACTTCGATCTAATTCCCCTCGCGAACTCCATTGCAGCAGAAACTCTCATCACAAAGTGAACTTCGAAGATTCTAGGCTTTTCATACATTTCACCATCTATCCCATACTATCATCAACATTAAATACCACCCTAGTTCGTATAGTAAATAAGGCACGAAAAATCCTAGTTGAGCATCTGCTAGGTTTTTAGGTAGTACTGCCTAGTTTTGACTCAAAACTTTTGAGAGGCCTGTTAATCACACCCTATCTTCGCATAGACAGTCGATTTGAATGATTTCACGTACAGTAGTACATATGCATGTTGCATAGATTTTAAGTGACTAACCCAATCCCAGCAGCGCGACATTCAGTGTCCAGAAAATATTACCTGAGCTCGAATGTTTAGTGGGGTCTTAAGCGCAGTTTCCAATAATCAAAGTACCGCTCAACGCAACACAAGCGAGAGCGAGTCGGTCAAACAGCCACAAGCTCACCTCCCACAACCACTACAGCCCTCGACAGCTCAAATCGAGTCGTGACACCATGCCGTCCAGAACACAGACCGACTCGGTCTATTCCGAGGCCACAACGCCCAGGGACCGACAACGTGCCCGTCTTCGACGAGGCCCGAAAGACCGCAGCCCGACAGATCAAGTCCAACATGATCATGTACACGAGCATCCTGGTGGCGCTACGGCAGCCCTTCCAGGGCGGTTTGTCGTCGTCACAGTTTAACCTGTAGCAGTACAACAACACCGAAAAGTGCAACGCGCGGCCTTTGGCCGACGACACATGCCTCAGGTTCCCGGGCCACTCGAAGCTCGAATGGACGTTCTCCGTGAACGCGTGGATCTTCGGTGGCATGATCGGCTCGTTTGTCTGCGGCCACTTCAGCAACCTGTGGAGGCTCCACTGGAGCCGCAAGAAGCTGCTGTTGGTCAGCATGTTCGCTGGTGCCGTGGTCGAGACGTCCGTGTCGAACGTCTTGGGGTTCTCGGCCGGTCGTCTGATCGCCGGCGTCGCGTCGGGTACGGGTACGTTCGGTGCATACATGAACGAGTTGACCCCGCCACACATGCGTAACATCCTGTGTCTGTGACTGCAGATATCGGTGACAATCGGCATCCTTTTCCCAGCTATCTTCTTCTTCTTCGCCAACACAAAGCTCGGGCTGGCGCTACCTGGCTATGGTTCTGGCCGTGCTGTTCCTACTCATGGCTCCGTCGATGTGTGTGGAGAGTCCGACGTGGCTGCTCATGAAGAACCGCCGAGAGGAAGCCAAGCGGGTCCTTGCACGTCTCTACAGCGAGGAGAACATGTACACTCCACTGTCGTGGCTCGAGTCGTGGACTAAGCCGAACAGGGTCTGACCCAGGTGTCGGCTGAGCCGGGCTCCCTGTTCGCACTCAAGTACCGTCTCCAGATGGGCGCCGCCATCCTCTTGTCTTGCGCACCGCAATTGTCGGGTATCAACACCGTGCTCTACTTCTCTAATTCCTTCTAAAAAAACACTCCGGTATCCCGGACCCGCGTGTGGGGACGTTGACCATCAACTTTATCAACATCTGGCCGGCTTTATTCACGGGGGTATTGGCTCACCGCTTCGGTAACCGTAACATGATCCTGTGGGGCGGGGCCGGTATGTTCGTGATGGCGTGCTGATGACGGTGGCGTTCCTGGTGGACGTGCCTGCGTTGTCCATCGTCTTCACTACTCTGTACGTGATCGCATTCGGTGTGACGCTGGATCGTCTCGTGTGGGTGATCACAGCCGACCTGGTCCCGGTCTTGGTGCGTGCCACAGCCACGTCCATCGGCATTGCTGCCAGCTGGCTGTGCAACCTCAGTGTGGTGTGGCCTACCCGTATATCACCGACGCTCTGGATGACTAGAGCTACCTGCCCTTCGTGACGCTTCTGGACATATTTTTCTTGCTGTCTCTGAAGCTGGTTCCGGAGACGTTGAACAAATCCACAGAGGAAGTGCAGCGCGATTACAAGTAGCGCTACCGCGACCGTCAGTTAGGTTGTGCTGCTTTTGAAGCCTGAAGAAACAGTGATCTTTATTTTGTTTTACTAATAAGTCATGTTAAGAGCTTAGAGTTTCTCTTTAGGGTCGAGTGCCGTCCCTGGAGAATTAGAACAGAGGTTTTAGGAGACAGGTGACAATTTTTCAAAAAGCGATGAGGCGAAGGATATTTATCAGCAATGTACCTCAACGAACGGCACATTTATCAGGTGGGGGCCACAAACAATATGATTGGATATAATACAACTTAGTCTAGATGCCTCACAGTGAGGATTTTTTTTTATTTCTTCCTTTAAGACCTGCGCGCGCAGTCCCGCCAACAAGCTCTTCTTATTTAATCTTAATACCGGCTCATGCAAAATCAGTATCGTACGCGACTACAGCCCACACATGTCTTCTTTAACAAGACATGGCGATCGCTTTCGAACGTGCGTATATGCACGTAGTATTGTATATGCTTGTAATTGTATGGATGAAAGGTTTGGAGGAGATTAACGACTTACACGGAATTTTCGCAGCTTACAAACAAAAGAGCCACATGAAGTGAGGAAGAGCACGTAATCACCAAGTTCTTAAACAGCAATGAGCACTAGTGTGGGCCTTCGTATATTTCGTAATGATCGTTAGATTTTCTCTCTTCGGCCTCAATTAGTCTTACAGCAACCTGTCCTAAGTATGGGTCTCGCACACTAACACAATATGCTTTTCTGCGCCAAGTCGATTCAGTAACTAACGACTCAGCTTTCTCGAATCAAGTACGCGGAAAAGCAAGCGGCTTGATGTTCAGCTGTAGCGATACAATTCATTTTGCTGTGATAGGGTTATGTGCCCTTGTTATAATTGAGAGCTTCCGTATAAACCCGTCTGATAATGTCTACCGGAAGCAATGACAAAACCATGGGAAAGAAACACTAGTACTGATGCATATAGCCAATTACAGTTGGCCAACGTGGGACATTGAACGAATGATTTCAGTCTTACTTAATTTGTTATTGTATTAGCTTCAACCTGCGAAAGGTTATCCAACTGGGAAATGTTCCTCCCTGCATTGTCTCATCCAAAGATTCTATAGCCAAACCTTAGCTAAACGCCACAGTAGTAGTGATAGGTGTGGTAACAAGGCCCGGTGCTGCGAAGCCTGAGAGCAGATCAAGGTTGTGGCGATACGGAGCCATCCCAACGTCTCTGAAGACTCGCAATTCTACCCTGACTTTGTTATCTTGTATTGAGCGGCTTGGATCATGAGAAGAACAACATCGGGAGGTTCCAACACGTCTCGATTGTGTTCGCAAGCGACCGGTTGGGACTGAGAGGGGGATGTATTTTGAGCTAAGTGGGCGCTGGGGATGAAGCAATGTTTGCCGGTGTACTGGGTACGTACGTGTTTGTCAATTAAATGACCAAATTCTAACCTGTGCCTTGCTATGACTTTGACAACCTACGCCACAATGAAGCCCTCGTAGTGGTTTGAAGGTAATTCATTTAATATTTTGCACTGATTACTCGCAGCTCACAAAACCCGAGTTGTTACTTCAAGTGAGCAGGGAATCTAATCCCAAATGATTTAAAACCACACATGATTTTTATTAACGATATAACTTTGTGTGTTTTGTTTTAGCAGCAAGCCCTTTTTTAAAACAGATTTTTGAGCATTTGAATTTTGACCCGCAGCCCTACTATCGCATGCTTCAAATGGACAATTGCCCACAACATAGACCCCTGGTACGATTCCTACGCTGATCTCTTTAACGTCAGCTTGGGTATTGTACAGCTTTGATCGATATGGCGGAATTGCCACATCTGCTGCAACGGTACTCAGCTCGCTTCGCCGTACGGGCAGCCATAACTTTGCCGTCGAAGAATTTTGTAATTTCCTCACTCTAACCGTCTACTACAGTCTGTTGTGTACCCAAACCGGCCGATCGTTTTGCTGCTGCTGGACACCATCCTCTATTTGCTGTTGACTTCTTACCTCGTATATATTCCGCGGCTTCCTTCGATCTTACGAAATAGGATCCTGCCTGGTGGTACAGGGGTGGCGGAAAAACATCTGAACTCAAACGAAGCTGGTCGTATTTAGACAGACGAAGATAAATGGACCTAAATGCTTCGCTCATTGCTGTCACTTTGTATCCGTCATGGAAATAGGTCATCACATCATATCTAGAAAGAGCACTGATAATTTGCTTTGATCTCCAGTAAATAAAATGGCGACATGGTAGCTTGAGCTGCTCTGCAACAGTGCATCTAGGACAGAAACCGTTATGCATGTTTACCTCATACTGGTGAGCACTGCCATTTGTAGACCGCAAGTCGAATGCATCGAATAAATAGAAGATCGGTGGGTCACTGGGAAGCATATTCTGTTGAATTACTCTGGCCTTCTCCTCGCTAAACAATCTGAGCGCATACGGAGTGACGTCAGCATCAGTAATATTCCAGTCCTGCACGGTTTTCTTTCTTTTCTGGAAGAGCTTTAGAACACGCGAGCAATAGGCTATTAAAGAGCCAAGAGCTAGTTTGGTCCGCACACCATGCCACAGCAAGCCGCCGCTGTCGCCCTCTATAGCACTGGTTGTGCGAACTCCAAATCAAGGCAGCGCGTCACCGTATCGGGGTGTATTGCTCCAGGACGCCAACAGCCACTTGCTTTCTTCAGACATAGGCTGCATGTTGCCAACAACACACCAATCGGTAGGGTGAATAGCTTGAATGTATGTGCAAACATACTCATCGACGACCTGCTTTGTAATCAAGGTTTATTTTAGCTGGATATCTCTTCGAAATTATTAGATCGTAGTCGATGCTTTTTGTAGCGCAAATACGTCGTCCTTTACAGACTGTAGATTCAGTTTCAGGGTCGTAAATTTATCCATCACATTGAAGCGAATATGGACCGAGCAGAACTTTAAATGAATCTTCAGGTCCATTAAAGCTAGCAATATCTGTGCACCTAATTGTTTCCCACGGTCATAGGAAAATTAGTCTGCCATGCCTGCTGTAATGTAGTAGTTAAAAATCCAGGCGAAATTGGTGATTGGTATTTTGTGAACGTAATCGAACGCCGATGGAACGTTTTGTTTATTCCCATATTTGCCTATAAGACTAAAAAAAATACCGTTGTACATCGGATCTTTCATATAAGTTCGATCACATTCCCACTGTAACGGGGTACGTAGCCCTAAGTGTACCCTGGTTACATGAAGTGTGACACCTCACACTTCAGGAGTATGACACGTCATACTCCGGGATATTTGGTACAAGGTACCAAAGTCGTTCAAAGCCAACCATTGGTTAAATGACATTGCATTTCTATAGGTAACTAATAGTTTGTATTAAACCCGAACTTATCCTACCTATAAATATACTCAGTTTACAACCTACCTTATTTAGGTCACTTCGCTCTCGTTAATAAAAGAGGGGACCTGTGAACTGCCGTTCACTGAGAGTTTGTATACTCTCGGAAGATAACTTCCTCTTGCGCAAGGTGCTGTGTGACCCCGTCACACTTGGTAGCCCTTGTAGTCAATCCACGCCATCGCGGGTAGACTACCTGAACCTCCGAAGTTCGTTGCCATGGATAGGAACGACTTCTCCCATTTGAACGACTCTCAGTTCGAGTCGGTTCGGACGATGGCAGGCATCTTCGGGATGGAGGCCCTGCAGAGCCTGATGGTGTCAACACCGGCTGAGCAGCTCGAGCGCGTCAATGCATTCGACGCGTACGAGCAGGGCCTCATCGCGCATGTGCGGGAGAACCTGCAGGCTCCGGCGGCGGAAGGAAATCCGCCTCACCCGAAGCCAATACGGCTGAAGGTAAAGCCGTATGAAGGGAAGGAAGGCGAGAACCTTCACTTCTGGGTCCGAGAAGTAGAGCTCGCGATGGACGCGGCTCTGATCTCGACCGAGCAACTGCGTGTTGCTTTTGCACTCTCCAACCTTAGCGGTCGTGCTAAGAGTTGGGTGTACACTCGGGAAGCAACATCCCCTGGATGTTTCACATCCTGGGCTCAGCTGTGCGAACAGCTCCGAGCCGCGTTCCTCCCGGCGAACTACGAGTACCGCCAGCGTTCGCGCTTCCTCGCGTGTAAACAAGGAAGGCGCGAACTGCACGAGTATGTGCAAGAGATACGGGAGCTCACGGCGTCCCTAGTGGGAAACCCACTCAATGAACACATCAAGATGACTGTGTTCATGGACGGCCTTCGAGTGGGCCCCGCACGCACTCAGCTTTTCCGGGTGCAGGCAAGCACCCTTGAAGAGGCGATTCAAGTGGCTCTTCAAGAAGAGTACAGCCATCGCCAGGCGCGTACGCCGGCCTCAGCGTGGCCTGGGAGCTCCTTGTCGGCTCCCGGTCGAACAAGCCCCAACGGACCAGTTCCCATGGAACTCGGGTCCGCCGAACAGCGTGACATCCGCTGCTTCGGCTGTGGGAAGATGGGCCATTTCAAGCGCGACTGTCCCGCGGAAAGACTCCGCAGACGGTCCTTCCCCAAGCCCGTCCTCAAGGGTCGCTGGCAGAAGCCAGGATCCCGGGGACAGGGGAACGCAGGGAACCAGTAGGGGCGGGGCGCCCTACTGGGGAAGAACTAAGTCTTCGTGATGGGTGCGCGGGTGGCGCGTACCACGGGGACTTAGCCCCTGAGAGTCTTCGCACTCTCGAATCGGCGAAGAGCAGCGGCGGGTTGCTCGTAGTACACGGATGTGTACGGGGATACGATCATCCCTTTAGAATCTTGATTGACTCTGGGGCGTCGAAGAATTTCGCACGCCGCCAGACGGTTGCTCGTAACAGCAACAAGTTGTCCGAAGCTTTGAGAGAAAGCAAGGGCAACGGGACGGTGTCAGTGCGACTGGCCGACGGGAAGGTCGTCACTGTCCCCAACGTCCAAGTGGATCTGGCTGTCAAGTTTGAAGACTTTGACAGCCTCGAACAGTTCACTGTTCTCGATATGGATCCATATGATATGATCCTGGGCATGCCCTGGCTTGAGAAGCACGAGCCCTGGATCGACTGGCGAGGCAAGGCAATCGGTGCCAGCCGCCCTGCGCAGTCCGACAGAGCATTGGTGAGTCATGTTCCCACCTCTGTCAGGACCCGGGGCGCCCGCG